ATGTGTTGTTTTTCCGGGTGTTCATCCGTTGTGTACTATTCGATAGTCGACGTTTCGCCATCATCTCAGATGGCATTATCAAGACGAGTTACTGCTTCGCTTCGAGAGGTGTAACTGATGTTAGGTTCTTCTTATATGGTTTCGCTTGCGTAAATTGTATGGATTTGTTACATACCAACTAACAACCAACATACCAACTAATTTTCCTTTATTTTGAGTATTTCAATATTAAATTCTACAAAAGAGATTTGAAGCTTTCTATCTTCTATTAATAATATCAAATCCTTGGAGTTATTGGGGATGGCAGCGAAGCGCAAGTGTACTCTTATAACATTATATTTCCAATATTTCGACAATGGTTATTGTCATCATCAGGGAGCTAAGATGATAGAATTTGAATTAATACAGGACTAAGTTAATAATTGAATACTTACAATGTTAGTGAGATTGGTCGCAATTGAGTTAGAGTTAAAATTGAAATATGAACGTTGTAATCATGATTTAAACAAATAACAACTATACATATACAAGACATATAAATTAAATGAAAGCTACAATATATATGCGGTAAATAAGGAATAATCATAAAATTTTATTTGAGAATGAACGTGGTGATCTTATCATATATCAATTCGGTAGGAGACACTATACCAATTTCGCCTTAATACCAAACCGAATCGACGCCTATGGCGAAATCCACGCGACATAGCGTCACGGCGCTTACAGAGTTAAATGGAACAAAGAGCTTTGCAAAAAACCTCTTCGATTCATTAATTCAATTGAGTGTATTCAGCTTTTCCAAATCTACATACATATTTGTATAAAAGTAAATATGACCTTCATGGAGTAGAAACTACAAAACATTTTATTAAATTTTGTGAATTTGGTGTAATAGTTAAGCAAATTATATTTCGGCTTGAGGTGAAATAGGCGGATTAAATACTAGACAAACAAAAAGTAAGAAAAATAGATAAAACCTTAGACAAATATTACACGTTCTATAAGAAAAAATATTAATGTAGAAATAGATAAAATCTTAGGCAATATGAATAAGATTATGCTACTTACAATACAGTATGATACAACTTGGGGATAAATTTGACTAAAGACTAACTTATTTCACTCTAACAGATTTTTTTAAATTGTCTATCTTTTTCGAGAATGTGTTTTCTTATTTGTTTTTTGAATATTGGTTTGGAATAAGAATATTTTATTTTGTGAGGTACGGTGTTATATAATTTAGTTGCCATTAAAGAATATGCTCTTTGTGAAATTGACTTTTTAACAGTAGGATAGGTTGGTTGGTCGTGATGTCGTGGGTTATAGTTGTGGTTTCGTGATGATGCTTTATTTTTGCTGAAATGATACTTCACGTTTGTACAATAGTTATATCCATAACTTCACACTCTCTATACAGGAGATCTGACGAAAAATGTGAATTTCTAGACATGATCAACTTCATGAATATCCTTTGTAATACCTCTAACGGATTGAGATGTACACGCAGAGCTGATCCCCATGCCATTATACCATATCTCAAATGGCTCTCTACTAGGGAACTATATAATTGATCAAGTTCCCTCTGATACCTTTATTTTCTAAAGTTTGTATGAGTAGTTGATGATCGACAGTATTGATAGCCTTCGTTAGGTCTATAAATAGACATGAAGAAGGTTTTCCTCTCTCCAAGGATTTATGTATCAATTCTGTCAGTTCAAGAATCGCGTCTTTGGTTGAGGTTTCTTCTTTGAAGCCAAACTGTCTATCTGAAATCAATTCGTATTTGGTTATAAATGAGTTCATTCTTTTATTTAACAATTTTTCGAAAATTTTTCACAGATGGGCGATAAGCGAGATTGGTCTATCGTTTGTGATTTCAGTTTTATCTCCTTTTTTATGGATATTAGTCACTACTGCAGTTTTGAATGAGTCGGGCCACACACCAAGTAATATACATTTATTAATAATAAAAACTAAAGGATCTAGTATACAATGTGATATTGATTTTAGCAGGTCTGCTTTAATTTCGTCTTTTCCTACCGCCTTTTTGTTTTTAAGGTCGCAGATTAAAGCGTTCACTTCATTTTCATCGGTTAGGCTTAAGACAAAAGAGTTTGGTAAAATGTTTGGATGAAAAGCAAGGTTATTATTTTTGACTATTTTATTTGCCAATTTATTTCCAATATATACGACATTATGGTTGAATTCATTGGCTAAGTCTCTGTTATTTGTTCTGATCATTTTTTATTGGTCCAATTATGGTTGATTCAGCTTTCAATAGCGTATTTTACGCAATCATTCCTTTCCAAACGTAGAGCGAAAATTGTTGCTGAAAATGACTCTCTGCAATAACGTGGATATTTTCGTTTGCTCAAAAATGGTCATTGTGCAAGTTCACAATAACATCTCGTGAAAAATTTGCTTCTTTCGTAAATAAAATATTTGGTAAAAAAATTATCATTGTGTGCCATCGTATGAATCAACCACTTGCAAAGAATTAATCATGGGCAAACATCCCGAGGCAGACGAGCTTAGACCCGCTGTATGTGATCTGGTCATAGGAGGTTTTTTTTCAGAACTGTTCATATGGTTTTTGGGATAGCTTTCAGCTGCAGTGCAATCTTTCTGGTACTATTCGAATAATATTTTTGTATCCCATCAAGTATAGCTTCTCCTAGTTCAGGTGTTACAGTTTCTGTTCTTCCACCACCTGCATTTTCATTTGAACTCCCAGTTTGAGATAATCTTGCATGTTGCGTTCTAAATGTTTCAGAACATGAAATTACTCTGTTAAAATATCTGTCCTGGTAAATTTTTTGTACTTTTACCGCAATTTCATTTGCTAATCCATGAATAAAGTGCATGTCAGCCATTTCATCGTTAGTAAAATTATTCATAATCAAATCACTGCAAATTGACAACTCCGACTTCTACTAATATAACAACGCTATCACTGTCAGCTGGTCTCCAAAGCAGGTGTTCATGAAATGTAAAGTGACTTCAATTTTTTCTCGAAAACGAAACTGAATATGAAGAAAACAACAATTCAGTTGCCTACTTTTTTCCCAATATTGTTGGCTGTGGTCTCCACTGAGACTGCACTGGACCCAATAATTTCAATCTAGTTTGGTATAAATAAGCGCCTTATTACTTCATATAACTGAAACAAATTTCAACCAAATCGGTGTAAGGATATTTATGATAGTTAATGAATACCGTTCTTTTAACTCTAACGTCCTGTATCTCAGAAACGAAGCAACTCCGGACATATGTTCATAAGAACTTTTTTTTTAAAAGAACCTAACGAATCACCCTCTGAAGTTTCGTACAGTAGTTAGTGAACACCCTGTATAACTTGATTGGCATAGCGTGCCTAAAAAACCTCCATTTCCCAACTTGTTACATGAATTCGTATTCCACCATGTGTTGAATAATTTTTTTCCTTCGGCGACACCTGAATTTCATCATGCGTATCAAACAATTCGTCATCTGTGTCGCGCCCTGCATAGAAAACTATAAAATTACAGTTATTTATAAGATAAACAGTTCCAACTACATTCATAAAGTTACGGTAAGAGCATACTCAATTTTCACTAGAAGGAAATATTGTTTCATAAGTATCATACGAGCAAGTTCGCTGTCACATTACATTTATATTATATTTATTCAGCAGCATTTGGAAATTTCACTTTCATGGGCATACATATTCAACATCTCTCTGTGCAGTAAGTCTCAATTATATCGAGACAAGTCAATTACACAAAAAATATGCGTTCTCTTCAATTTTCTTTAAGTAACCATACAACCAGGTGAAATTTGAAATCCTCTCTGAAAACAATTCGTTTCAGTACAGAATGTACTTATGGCCATATGTCATATTGGAAGGTTGTTTTCGAAAGTAATATCCAAAGATTAATGAAATTAACGAGATGATTTCAATGATATTTCAGAGAGCACATTACTCATCAGCTAACAATTTTCCTAAATGAATTATGAGCCATTAGATTATTTAGTCAAAAAATGTATCAAGTGATATTTTACTCCTAATAGGCGTTTGACATGTTACAATGAAATAAAAAGTAAATGTGAAGTCTATATTCAGAGAATGTGAGAAATATACTGCCATACACTTGATATTTCCCTAAAACTTTTACTAATACTACTAATATTTCATCAGTGCGGACTTCCATTGTCTAATATAATATAAATTGATTTGAAATCCCTGAAAAAAATAAAAAGATTATCCAAAAATAACAATTTCATTAAAACAAA